TTTCATGAATCGTATTGGGCTTTAATGGAAGTATTGGGCTTTCATGAATCGTATTGGGGTATAATGGAAGTATTGGGCTTTCATGAATCGTATTGAGCTTTAATGGAAGTATTGGGCTTTCATGAATCGTATTGGGCTTTAATGGAAGTATTGGGCTTTCATGGAACATATTGGGCTTTGGTGGAACGTTTTGGGCTTTAATGAACCGTATTGGGCTTTAATGAATCGTATTGGGCTTTGGTGGAACTGTATTGAGCTTTGACGGAATCGTATTGGGCTTTGGTGGAACTGTATTGGGCTTTGATGGTATCGTATTGGGCTTTGGTGGAATCGTATTGGGCTCTAATGATAATAATAATAATAACATTAATAATTATTAATAATAATAATAATAATAATAACAATAATAATAATAATAATAATAACAATAATAATAATAATAATTTTAATTTTAATTTATTTTTAAAAAAGAATTATCTTACCGGCGGATGTATCCGCCGGAAACTTTAAAAATTTCAAAAAATTTCAAGAAAACCGGGTCTTTTAAAATTTAAGGAAAATTTCCGGCGGATGTAATCCACCGGTAACCCTCAATTAACCCTCAATAGTGTAATCCATTAGGTTGTAGAACACAAAAAAATTCAGCCGGCCTCCCCCTTCCAATCCCGAGAGGCGAGCGACGGAGCGAGAGCGACTGCACTCTGGCTGTGCAGCCTGTGTGAGGACAAGCCGACGAGGAGTCGAGAAGGGTGACCACGTCACTGACCAGCGTAGACGGCAGACCGCAGACGGAGGCGAGGCGCGAGACGACGAGAGCGCAGCAACCAGCGTAGACGCAGGCAGAAGCGGCACTCGGCGGTCGACGGCCAGCCGGCCACGGTAACTCCCGCCTCCCGGTAAGTCCGTCTTTCTCTGTTCTCTCACTTCTGCTGTTCTGAGTCCTACAGCCTACTGCTTGCCATGGGAATGTCAAGTTACATTGTTCTACTATTGTCTATTGGACAATTTGCCCCTGAAGAGATTTCAGCACAGGTATCACCATTTCAATTCATTTTCAACCTTTCATCTCTCAAGCTGTTGATGTGGCATCGTTAGTTAGAGTATTTCTTTTTATCTACTTTCATTATCATGTTGATGAATCAAGAAACCCTTCTAGAACATTCATAATTAAGTAGAAAGTGTTGATTGAATGGATATGTGAGTTAGTTAGTTTTAGGGAAAAATATGAATATAGAAATTGAATTGAATAGGTGTAGTTAATTAGGAAACATATTGGGTTAACAGTAGATATTTGCAATAAAAAAAGATGTAAAAATTGTGTTAAAGATACATGTTTGTTTCTAATTTCCCCAAATCAAACCTTCTRTTCTTACCCATGAATCTTGTGTCTATGGTGCCTTGTTTGTTTTTGAGTGAAGCAATAGAGATCTGCCTAAGTAAACAAGAGCACAGGTTCCAACTTTCACATGGCCCACTTTTTTTTATATTTGTGTAAATTTGCAAGGAATCCACAGGTATAAAATTCTTGTTTTGGTATACAAAAATTGCTTCTTTTTATAGCCAAGATTGCTACTTTTTTGGTACAAAAAGATACGGTTGTGAGAATGTAACATTGCCTCCCTCTACTTCTTGAGCAGCCTAAGAATGCCTACATGCTTTTTCAAGTGTCCATTGTGACTTTCCTTCTATGACAAATTGCATCTGTCTAGTTTTATCCATTATAGTTTCTTCAATCTCCCCTCTTCCATCAAAGTTGATGGTGTGTGTGGATTAGATAGATAAGTATGTGAAACAACTTCCAATAAAGCTATCTTCCCAATCCTTTGTAAACAAGTACGTTTAATTGATATTTTGATGGAATATGACTGGTAAGGAGATATATCTATGCATTTTCTCAAACAAAGTAGAATCCTAATATCTGCTTCTAGCATGCTTCACTTGATTATAGGCCATAGTTATTGCTAAAGTACTGTCATTTTACAAAAGTGCACTCTGCATGAGTTTGGACAGGTATGACTCAATTTATTGAAGTTTTAATTTTGAAGTATGTAGCCACTAGATTTTGGACAGTGTATTTTTGGTAAGTGCACAACTTTTTTCTCCTCCCTTCATAAAACATCGTGGTTGTTTGATTTGTTCTGTACTTGCACTTTGCATTTCATATTTACTGGTTAATGTTCTAACCTGCATCAAAAATTTACCATTGCTATTCCCCTTTTTATCATCTAGTATGCTATACCAAATAACTAATTGCTACTTCTTGGCTTTTATGATAACTCTGTTATAGACATACACGTCAATGAGCCAGAAGGGGACATTTTGATATTTATGACTGGACAGGTAATTAAAATTTCATGCCTTACAAWTTTTACTTCTTTTGTGATAATTTATTCTCCATATTGTACTATGTTATCTTTCTTGGAAAATGACAAGGTCCTCTTAGGATGATATAGAGAAGTTGGTTTCGAAATTGGAGGAAAAAATTCGAAACCTTGAGGCAGGATCTTGTATGGATGCCATAGTCCTTCCGCTTCATGGTTCTTTGCCACCTGAAATGCAGGCAAGTTGTTCATCTTAATGTCTATGTAGTCAACTTACAGTAGTATTTCTCTGTTATCTTGCAGTCTCAATGCTATCCGGATGTCATACATACAACTACTTGTTATTATGTTTCACATAACTTATTAAATGACATATATTGTCATTCTTCAACTGCTTTTTTGGGTGCCTGAGTTACTCAGAATGCACCCCTTGTTTCCGGAGGTCAATTTGCTGACAGGCTATAAGCATTTGTCTTTTAATGGTTTTGAACATCTAGGTTTTTATTCTTTTTTTGTTTCACTTTACTTTTTTCCTGGTGTCGGATACTCATTCTTATGTTCGTGTATCTTTCTCATTTAATCCATCTATCTCGACCCAAATGTTACATTTATTTTTATTCTCCTATATCTTTCTCATATAACCAATGATGGCTCACTGCCCGTATGATTATGCAGGTGCGAGTGTTTAGTCCTCCTCCTCCAAACTGTAGGCGTTTTATTGTGGCTACAAACATTGGTGAAACGTCTTTGACTGTTGATGGTGTTGTGTAAGAGATTCTATTTTTGCCAGAAAGTTTGCTATTTTGTCAACTTTGATGTCACTAATTAGTTACCTTGTAGGCTAATCTTTACGTATGTAGCGTAGTAGCAGTATGTGCAGGGGCGGAACACACACTTTCCAAGCGCAGGGGCCGAATCTAATATTATATATTTTCAAAAATGCCAAAAATACACTGGGACGATGTGTTAGTAAGGTTTGGGGTTATCCAATCAGACACACTTATCTTTTACTCATGGGTTGAAGATGGAATAAGGAAAAGGGAATAACAGGGGATCAAATGCAGAGAAAGGATAGAAAACGACCCAAGTAAGACAAGCACCTGTCAAAAAACGGGATAGTTGTCCGAGCACGTGAGAAAAGAAAAGGGAAAATACACTAAAGACCCTTCAGACTATGATACACTAAGGATCCCTTGTTCCTCCTTAGCCATCAGTTCTTAAGTCATCCCCTATAGCCCCACTACAACCCATCAAAGACCTGGATGATCTTCTAGAAAACTTGACATCATTTAGGCCTTGTATTTTGTTAGTCTTCCTTGTATTACTCCTTTTCTAGTTCATACTCATCATCCTCCTTCAATTATCACCTAAATGCTAAATCACCTAAATGCTAAATCAGTAAACTGTAAATCAGTCAATTTAGCCCTAATAATCACCTAATTGCAAATACCCTCCATTTCTAGTTCATACTCATCATCCTCTTTGAAGTAAGCTCTTTGTTGGTAAATAAAATCTTGTGGCAATACAAATTCTTTAGAACTTCTCTTTGATGAGTATCTCATCTTCTGCAGAACAATGACCATTAAGAATCTTTTGGTAGTTGAGTATACAATAGATTTCTAATTTCTAAGAATTTACTTTATATCCAATTATTCATGAGTTGTATTCTTCATTTTAAATAAATTATTTAGCATTCTATATGTTACATTAGTATCTGCAAGTAAACATGATGCTAGACACCAAAAACGACAGTAATGTTATTGTGTGTTAGATATCGAAATGGAGCAACAGTTAAGTGGTATAAGTTAATTTCAACAAAATGAAACTATGGGAGAGAAGTTGAAGACTGCGCAAACACTGCAAAAGAGAATCCAAATCAGCTAATTTCAGTAAATTTAGCCCTAAATCCTAATAATCAGTAAATCACCATATAACCAATTTCAGTCAATTTAGCCCTAATAATCACCTAAATGTTAAATCAGTAAACTGTAAATCACCACTTTTGCCCTTTTGGGTTTTGATTTCAAAAGAAAAAGGTGCAACTGTGCAAGTGAAGTGCAAGTGTGCAACAAGCAGCAATCACAAGCAGCAATCAGCAGAGAAGCAAGCAGTAGAACTGAGAAGGACCGAGGACGGACTTACAGGGACCGGGAGTTACCGTGGCTGGCCGCCGCCGCCTCCGCCTGCAGGGCCGCCTCCGCCTAACGTCGCCGCCTCCGCCTCCATGGCTCTGTGCCTCCTTCTACGCTGGTCGCCCTCCTCGTCCTCACACACAGGCTGCATTCGGCAGTGGGTTATGGCCTTATGGGTAGTCGCTCTCGCTCGCTTCTCGGGATTGGATTTGGAAGGGGGAGGCCGGTTGAAAATTTTTGAATCTAAAAGGTAATGGATTACACTGTTGTATGCTAAGTGGGAAAAAAATCACAGGGGCCAGGGCCCCTATAGGCCCCTTAGGCCCTCCGCCCCTGAGTATATGCTAAAATGAAAAGACTTCGGTTTTACATTGTTAATCATAGTTCATATTTTTCTTTTGTAAACGTAGATTTTTAGATACTACATTTTTCTGGGCAAAAAGTAATAATTGGCGTTGTTTTGGTGGCCAAATTTTTTCTTTCTTTTATTGGCTATATTATTGGGTTTGAAGACACATGCGCATTAAAATTACCCTACCTTCAACGTAACTGAAACAAATTGCATCTTTTTTTTTTGACATTATAAGTGCATATTGTTTGTTCATTTAGTACCGTGATAGCAATTTATGAAGCTATATGTGCATGCATTCATAATAGCTGGTCAATCTGGGGACATTTGAGTTTGAGGTGGAAGGAGTCAAATGAATGTGGTTGTTCACCTCAAGCTTTGACTATAGCTGCTATGTTATCAGTGGAAGGTACATTGCTTCCTGGAAGAAGGTATAATTCTGAGAATGTTACTTAGGGTGCGTTTGGTTTGCAGGAATGTTTTTGAGGGATTTGGATTCCCATGAGGTATAATTCAAATGATTTACGTTAGAAATAGAGATATTACATATAATTAACAACTAATTGAACTGACACATAATTTATTTGGGTTTGGGTACAATTAAGATCTCAATTTTGTCTTGACCGGGGACTTTCCGGAAGGTGGTTCATCGTCTTCAGATAAGCACGTATGTGTCTCTTTTCTTTTGATGATGTTTATCGACTTAGCTTATAATTAATATTAAATATTATAACGTTTTATTTATTTTATAGGAAATTCAAACCTTAAAGACCCAACTTAGAGACTTACAGGAACAAAGTCAGCGCCAACTTAGAGACTTACAGGAACAAAGTCAGCGCCAACGGATGGCGCAGGAGGAGCGACGTTTGGCGGAGGAGGAGCGATGGCGGGCGGCAGAGGAGCGACGTTTGGCGGAGGAGGAGCGATGGTGGGCGGCGGAGGAGCGACGACGACAGAGGGAGGAGCAACAGGATAGACGACTTCAATATATGGCTGCTTTGGTTACACAGCTCAGTCAATCTCAACATTCCCCCCGCCACCATAATGAATATTGTCTTTTGCCTTTAAACAATTTAGTTTTGTTTATAACAATTTAGTTTTTGTKTGGTTGGAATAATTGTAGTTTCACTTTAATGTATGATATTTAGTTCTATTTCGCCTTTTTATTTTCAGTTTTAATATTGTATAGATTTGAAGGTTTTAAATATTAATTTTAAAATAAATTTAAAATATTAATATTTATACATTTTTCCGGCGGATATATCCGCCGGTATTTTTAAAAAAAATTAATTCTTTTAGAAATATATTATTTTAAAAAAAAAAATATTACTATTTATATATTTTTCAGACGGATTTCCGGCGGATATATCCACCGGTATTTTTTTTTTTTAAATAATTTTTTAGAAACATTATTTTTTTAAAAAAAATATTATTATATATATTTTTCCGGCGGATTTCCGGAAATTCCGCCGGGAAAACAATCACCGGCGACCAAATCCGCCGGAAATCCGTTGGAAATCACTTTTTCCGGCGGATTTCCGGCGGATTTGGCCGCCGGAAAAAGTGCGTTTTTTTGGTAGTGATCATTCAACCAATCATAATTTTTTATTTTGTTCATTTTTTTTTAATTATGAGAGGTTGATTAGTCATTTTTATTGTGTAGGGAGTTAATCATGGATATTATCATCTTCATTATTTTAATTTTAGAAAAATATATGAAACAGTTTCATTAAACTTTTATTAAATATTATATGAAACAATTTCATAACCATATTAAATAATTTCATGAAAAAATTTCGTAAGATTAAACAATGAAATCGTCGTATGAGGGTGGTTTGTACGGTTTTTACAAATGATGGTGGTTTTCATTTGATCTCTCATATATATATATATATATATATATATATAGAGAGAGAGAGAGAGAGAGAGAGAGAGAGAGACTTGGGGTCATTTGAGATTACCAAAATAACACTAAACATTTACAAGGAAAAATATTATGAAGGTAATCTTCACAGTGTTTTTCCTATGAAGGTTCTAATTTTTTTTACCTTCATAATATTTTACTGTGAAGTTATAAGTGTTATTTTGTATTCTTACACGTATCATGAAAAATATATTCGTCTCATGTGAACCCAACCCTATATATATTATGTGTGTGTGTGTGTATATATATATATATATATATATATATATATAAGTGAAAGATCATGTGAGAACGAGAGTTAATGTAAGAAACGTAGTATGGGATCTAAATTCTTGATCACATTTAACCTCAAACCCACTCATGAAGCCTTTGGTACGGGGATTAATCGATTAATCTGGTGCATCTAGGTTCATCTCATCCTAACATGCATCCAAAGATTAAGATCTATTTTTACGTTTTTCACCTTAATTCTCCTTACCGAAATCCAACAATATGTGTGTGTGTGAGAGAGAGAGATTCAAAAAAATTTGTTTAAAAAACATAAGACATCATGGAAACAAAACTTGCTACCAATTCTTACCGACAAATTAGTAAAGAAGAAAAAGGGGGGAAATGACTATTTTGCCCTTTATAAATAATAGGTTTAATGAGATAGACGAATAATCATGTGAAAATAAAAGTTAAACTAAGAACGTTTGATCACCTTTAATTTCAAACTCACCCATGAATCATTTTTGATACAGCGATTGATCTGGTGCATCTCACCCCAACGCATCTCATCCTAATGTGTATCCAAAGGTTAAGATCTATTCTTACGCTTCTCAACTTAACTCTCCTCCTCCTAAAAACCCAACCATCCAAAAATATTTAATTGAATAAGATGTTAGGCAAAGCTTGGGTGGGATGACCCGCTAGAAAAAGGGGTTAGAACAGATACTTTTCGAGAAAAAAAATAAGATGTGTCGAAATGAGTTATTAAAATTAATAGACAAACATAAGCAATAAAAAAAATTGGACAAATCCTTCGACCTGTAAATATTTGATTATTAAATCCGATTAGTGGAATTAAAAATTTGGACGATTTCGAATTTCAACACGATGACTCTTTTGAGAATTATTTAAAAACATAACTCTAATCAATCCTCACTTAATTCTCATTTCCCTTATCTTCTTATCTCTATTTAATATTAATTAGAAAGGTATTTACACAATGCAGCAAGATACATCTGGATTTTAATATTTTATTTTTTATCTCAATCGATGTTATAATATGGTCTTATATGACTTTGAAAAGACAATAAATTTTTATATTTGAATAAAATATAAATTTATGTAATTTTTTAATTATAATTTAATTTAAGTTCTATAACGAAGTAATTTATATTTGGTTTGGTAATATATTTTTTTTTATAAATATAATAGTTAATTATTTTGTTAGAACTCGATAATTATCC